ACAACGGGCACAGTAAAGACGTTTACAGTAAGTCTTTCTACGACAGACCAACGGACCACGAGTGCCCCTGTCGGTCAACCAATCACGCACCGCGTCATATTGCGTCATGATACGCGATACCGCAGCCAATTACCTGCGGTACGTGTCTGTACCGCTCACTTTGAATGGCTGCATCTGTATAAAATTTGTAGACAGGCCTAATTACCCATATGTATGTCTAGAATGGCCAAGACATGCATCTAAACATGTTCTAGAACACCTTCTGTGGTCACTTATTAGTGACAGTATTAAATATATATAATTATAGTCATCAATTTTAAAATACATTTGTTGTTCTTTGTGGTTTTTAATGTAACCCCATTACTTTTCAAACTGCTTTGTTAGTTAAGTTCAATACTGAGTTTAAGAATCTACATCCCACAAATTATACTATTTATGTAATATATACTGATACAATAAAGAAACACAACACTTCCTCCTCCACACTCTGGCCCTCCCATCTGCGTGGAACAGGCCCATCCATGAAGAGGATCTGATTCCACTGCTGATAAGTCCATTGCAGCCTCTGTCTAGCCCAAGCCAGTTGGGTGTGACGTCTAGGAGATGTGAGGAGAGGGCCTCTGACAGGTCACCTTGCATCTAAGGCCAGCAGCATGGAGCCTCACTGTCCTGTCAGTGATGCGGGCATTTTGTCTGCGGGCAGTTTCAGCAGTAGTACAGGTGGCAGATCTAAAACGATCTCACAGATGGACCAGTCTGATGTGTCGGTCCTGCTCTAGAGTGGTCACTTGAGGGTGACCGGATCTTGGACTGGTCATCTGTCCTGCCAGTCCTCTGAAACTTTCTCTGCAGTCAGGACACAGTGGAGTGGCTTACTCCATAGTGTCTGGGAACACTGGCACATGACATGCCTTCCTGCAGCATGGCAATGGTTCTGGTGACATTTGAAGCATTATGGAATGCACAGAAAACTGACTAAGTTTCAGTAACCTAAGCTTTGAATTAAGACCTTTTTAAAGGTGACCTGATCAGATATTGTTCCACCTGGACCTCATTGGGTAAAAGTGCACCTAATGAGCTTCCGTGTGATTGGCAAGTTGCAATGCCTCACTGCACAAGCTGTATTGCTGTTCAAAACAAATGAACTTTTTGTGAAAGTACGTAAGCTATAACTATTGTATTCTAATTCCAGAAAATGTTGCGTTTCTTTTTTCCATCAGTATACATAATACATATAATTATTCTGCATATTATTAGTTTTTCCTCTTTCATATCTTAACAATCTGAGTTTATTGCTGTGTGTACACTGAATAGACACAACCCAGTGTGCCGGGCATTCAATTGTTTTGTGTGAGAGAGAGAGAGCTTTAATTTCTTGTGTTCCAGTATAATACTCTGTGTTACATTTCAGACTCTTTTTAAAACTAATTTAAAATATATTTCATTTACTTAGGATATTAATATTACAGCATGTGGCAATCACTGTTTGTGTTAATAAAATTTGTTTTATTTTTGCTTCTTATATTTTTCTTGATGCAAAAGTTCACAAGGCATTCTATGAAAATACACATGTAAAAGTATTTTTTTACATTATGTTCATGCGCACTGTATCACTGTATGCTGTGTACTGCTTTCTTGTATCCTCTAGTTTGCCATCAGTCTTGTCGCTCCTGTGTTGGTCCAAAGCATTCTGATTGTGTTCAGTGTTTGAAGCCTGAGGAGGTACTACACTCTGATCAAGACCACAACGGGCTACTCCATGGTGTCTGTGTTTCAGAGTGTAAAGCGCAGTTCTATCTTGAAACTGATATGATTTGTAGAGGCAAGTATATGTGGTCTAGACAGATAATTTAAAATGATCTCAGTTCAACCATACATCATAGCTGCTTTCAGAGGGCCATTCGCCTATAGATAAAGATCACTTTGAAAGTAATTTATTTGAAAATCTAAACATTTAAATTAAGCTTACTTTATTATTATTTTTGGAATATGACTTTGTAAGTTTACTATGGTGAATTTGCATTGCAGCTTTATAGCTGTCCAGCGGTTTTACCTTGCATTTGTTAAATAATTTGTAATACTGTGCATAATTAGAACCTCAGTAATCTTATAGGGTCATTACTTTTATTATATGTTTTGCTTTTCATTGAATCATTGTTAAAGTGATCAAAAAAACTTTTTTGAGATGGTAAATCGCCAACCTTAAAGAAAGAAGCCTTACGTTTAGAAAGTATCACAGTATCACAGTAATGAAACTGCAATAAAACATTTGTTTGATATTAAATTATTTATTGTTGTTTATTATGAGGATTATGATTAATGTTTTTCTGATTTGTAGAATGCCATCCTACATGTATGAAATGCATTGGGAATAGTGCTCACAACTGCACAGCTTGTGCCTACTCAAATGTCCTGCATGAAGGAAAGTGCCTTCATAAGTGTCCAGAAGGGCTGTACAGTCAGAACAACATCTGCAGCAGTAAGTGCCTTAATCTTTTCAATTTCAACAAAATATTTTTTGGTACAGTTGCAATCTGAAAGGACTGTTAAGAAAAGTTATGTGCACAGATTCTAAAAGACAAGTCCTATGGATAAGCAATGAGTTATTGAGTTTTACTTATAACATTCCATTGTAGCATTCTTTTTAGAAACAGTTATTAAAAATGGATAGTGAGTTAGAAAGCATATATTCAGATATTGAATATCTTATATCAGAATACCTATACATTTGAAGTATGAGTCATTAGGGAATCATTATCTGCAATCATCATTTGAAGTGAACAAATTTATTTTCTAGAGATTTATAATATGCATCAAAATATACTGAAATTTACCTTCATATGTTTTGGGACTGTTCTGTCATTTTAACATTTGGGAATCAAGTAGCTAGTGTACTGTCTAATTCACTTGAGTATGACATGAGACCCAATCTGTTTCTTTCACTGAATGATTTTAATTTTTTTTTTAATGTTTAACAGCTACATTGAAAATTATTTTTAAACTATGGAATAAACCCATTATGGGCAGATTACATTGCTGACTAATTATGTTTGTGGATGTAGTTAATCTGGAGGTATTAACTACTAAATTGAACTGGTGCGAGAATGGTATGGGCTCAAGCACAGTGGAGACATGGGAAGCATACAGATGCAGTCTTTTAAAATGTGCAGGGTGTCAGCTAGCATACCACAAAAAGTGCCACAGCATGCCGAACAGCAACATGTAATACTGCTTTGATTTTTTCAAATAATATGATGCACCACTGAGAAATACATCCTTTGATGCACCTGGACACATCATTGCATACGCTGCGCTGTAACGCTGCGTGTTTCAGGACTTTCAACAGCAGACACTTTCGCTAAGGTGACATCCAGGGTTGATCAAGCACCACAGCCATCGTGACGCTCTGTCTGCAGCTTATATGGTGGTTTTGTTGGCCTTCCTCTTGATATCCTGTGTTACACCCAAAAGACACCTCTGGGCTCACACCATGCTCTCTACCCTTTCCCAAGGTACAGATTAACCAGGTCGTTATACTTAGCACCCTTCCTTTCATTGGCCTCTTCCATCTGGTCTTCCCAGGAACTGCTAGCTCTAGCATAATTGCCTGCTTAGATGCTTCAGACAGCAATACTATGTCTGACCTGACATAGTCAAACTGCCAGGTGGCACAATAAATGTACTTTAGTGTACGACAGCTGTATGTGGCTGTCGCACAAATCTTTTAAAAATATTTTTTAATTTAATAATTAAAATTAAATATTCATTAACCCATTAGTGCTTTCCTGCACTAATCATTTGTACAGTAACAGTAACAGCATATTGTACTATATTACTAGCATAATGGCTTTAATAACACTGTATCGAAAAGCAAATAAGAATTTTAAAAAGAGGCTAGAAGACTTGAATTACTTTCAAAGAATGATTTACGGTTGTGTTCTGCAAGTTGTATTGGAGCTATTAGAATTTCATGCAAATTTTTGTTCATATCGTTTATATTGAAATCCTTTGTGTTAGTTTGGTTTCACTTCCTCTGCAAAAGCAATTATAAAACATGTTTTAAATTATTTTTTCTATATATTTTAATGCTTCATGGCACTGTAGTTGAAATTGAAACATTTTGTAAACGTTTTTACATGCTCCTTCTGACTATATTAAGTTTATATGCTTCAGAAAAAGTTATGTTTTAACCTTTTCTATAAATACTTGCACTCGTTATCGCTGTAAAAAATGCATACTTTTTAGAATTTGATTAATAGGGAATATAATATGGAATGGCATATCTAAAGAAATTAATAACGATATAATTATATTCATATAGCTCAAATTATTACACTTTCTTTGTAAACATCTGCATCAATTTGACTCATTCACCCGCGATTACTTGGAAACTTTTTGCCTACCCTTTTCAGCTACAGCTTAAGTTGTCAAGTGGCATGTTGGTGTAATGGCTTTGGTGAGTGACTCGCATGCTAGAGGAGGGAGGTTTGAACCCAGCTCTCGCCATGAGTTTTCTTTTAACAAATAAACATTTCTTTGAAAAACTAAACTAGTAAATATTATGGACACTATATTGAATTTGTTGGTATTTCTAAATATCACAACACGTTCAAAGTTAAGTGATTTATTAATAACTAATAATTTCAAACTGCTTGTATTTTAAAATTGTATTTTGTTTGGGGTGATTTGTCACTGTTTTCACAAGCTTCAATTTATTAAATGTCTATTTTTGAGACAGGGTGTTCACGACCTCTGTCTAATTCCTTAAACTCTCTCTGTATTCCATATTATATGTATTTATATAGCTGGTAGTATTACTGTAATGCACTTTCTTTGTAAGCATGTTTTATTTTTAATTTGACTCATTCACGCATGATCACTTTAGAAACATTTTTAAGCTGTTTGTCTTGGCTGTATTTCTGAGCAGCCCGTTGGTACAGTGGGTTTATCAATAGGGGTTCTGTCAAGGAGATCTGAGTTCAATAACAGCTTCGAGCACGATTTTTTCTTCTAACAAAGACTTTTTAAAAAATAAAATAGTAAATTTTATGTACACTATTTTGACATTTTTTGTTTTTTATACATGATAACATATTTGATGTTAAGTTATATTAATAATGAAATAAAAACGTGAATGACTCAGAGTCTCCAACCTACAGATATAAAGATCGGGATTTGTGAAAAATTTCACAGCTTTTATTTAAAAAATATCTAGTAATTTAGTAAAATAGTATTATCTTGCATTTTTAGAAACCTTAGTTTGAATTAAGTGGATCCCAGTTGCAAGTGACTTCATAACGCAAGAAGGTATTATGCTATATTTTCTCTCAAAAACATAAAAATGTAACGTAATATTATGTGGCATGATGGGCAACCAATTCTTTTAATTTAAAAGAAAATCAAAAATAGGAAACAATAACGTGTATGCCTAAAATAGATATTGCATGGTTTTAAAACCCATAAAAATGGGTTTAGTTTAAAACAGGATATCCATGAAAAACAGGTGTTTTTTTTTCCTTGTGATCAGCTTAGAATCTTTGTGTAAGCTGTAAGTTTTTTTAAACTTTTTAATTTAACATTTTAAACAGTTCGATTTTGTAAACGCAACATGCATTTCATACAGATAGAGTACAATCACATTCTCCTGACTTCCTATGGTGTGAAGCAAAGTAGCAGGTGGCTGGGAAAATAACGCACTGCCCACGGAGCTCAGTTCAGAGAAGAGGCGGTGTCGTAAGGAGACTGTTCTGCAGCTTGCAGTGTTTATGGCACTGAGCTCGTCTGCCTTTAAAACTTAATAATGGCATGTAAATCATTTCTTTTAATTTGAAATATTTAAATTATCATTAAATATAGCTTTCTCACCAGATGGTTTTATATTTGAAACCAACATTAAACAAAGCAGGGGTTTATTGTACTTTATAATGACATTACACATGGAAAGATTATACATTTTAATTGCTTTTAATTTTTTAAGATACAGTTTAGAAAAGTTTCATCTACACAAATATGACAGACTGTTTTCCATTGTATTTCTGAATGTTATGTCAAAGTTCAATATTTTATAAAAATCTAAATATAGTCAGGTGTCATGTGCATAAATTTGCACTGTGATAAATTGTTGCACTGCTTCCAAATCTTGTGAAAACATTAATTTGCAGGACTGTGTCTGACTATCAAAAAATAAGTAAAAAACAAACTTATAAAATAAGAAAATGAAGGTAAAATATAATTAAAAATTAAACCAGGATTCATTTTTTTCTGTCTCTCCCTACTCTCTCTCACCCGCTGCGATTCTAACACAGAATGGTTAAAAATAGGACCAGGTCAGGCAGGCAGAGGGAAGGGGGAGGTGTCTTCCCACCTCTATGACTAAAGTGTCAAAGAGGAATGGCTTTAGTGACATACACTGTACAGTGTATTATAACTAACACTCTATGGGCACTACACTGTGAGTAATGCTGTCCACTAGATAGATACTTTATTGGTCCTGTGAGGATAATTGCAGTGCAACAACAGCTTAACACAGACAACACAGCCAAAGTGTAACAAATGATACAATAATAATAATAATACAATACATACAATACAATCAGTACAGTGAGGGGTGCACTAAAAGAGTTACTCACAGTCCAGGACACACAAAGAACAAAATAGAACAGAACAGTACGCAGAAAAATTGTATTGCACATATGAATATATAGATGTAAATATAGATATAAATATAAATATAAATGTATTGCATGGGTCCCTGGCATATATTGCACAAAAAATGTTTGTAAACGGGAAAAGAAAAATAACAGATGTAGCAGTAGATGTGTAGATGTGTTCAGTCCAGAAACAGGTCACTGTCAACGTTGCCTCTGCCCAGATGCAAGGTGGATGCGTCTTATGGCAGAAGGCAAGAATGACCTCCTGTAGCGCTCCCTGTCGCACCGTGGATGAATCATTCTATTGCTGAACGCGCTCTTCATTTCTACAAGCCTGTCATAGAGGGGATGGGAGATGTTGTCCATGATGACCAGTCTCCTCTCAGCCACTACCTCCAAGGGGTCCAGGTCAGACCCAGTGACAGAGCTTGCTCTCCTGATGAGCTTGTTCAGACTTTTAGAATCCACTGCTCTAATCCCAGGGCCCCAGCATACCACTGCGTAGAAAATGGCGCTCGCTACCACCGACTGATTGAACATGTGTAGCAGCTTACTACATACATTGAAGGACCTGAGCCTCCTCAAGAAGTCGGCTCTGTCCCTTCTTATAGATGGCTCGATGTTCTTAGACCATTCCAGTCTATCGTCGAAACCTCTTTCCCACAAACTTCACGGGGGCAAGGTCACGTAGCTTGATACAATTTTATCTTAAGGCAAAAATTCAAATATTTGTCAACATATTTACTAAAACTATCCATCTCAGTATTCTCACTGTGTTAATCTCACTGTACGCCCTGGTGCTCTCTCAATGGTCACACTCCCAGTAAAA